AAAAAAGAAACTGTCCAGATGACCCGACTGAAAATTGTTGGATTTTATACCTGGATCATTGAACATGAACTTTCGGTATTTGTAATATTATTATTTTTTTAATGTCTGTTAAACCGTCGTTGTTGCTACTTTTTGTAGAGTGAACCCAGATGGGAACAAATCGTCTTTGTGACTGCAGGTAAATAAAAGGACTGGTACCTAAAGATCCCATTTAAAACTGGCCCTTTGCCAAGTGGACTGCTGTGCTTTTAAAACACTCATTCATTAAGTTTAGGGGCCATTTTATAGCTGAATTATTCATAGACCAGAGGCCAGAGTTAAGTGGCTTTCAAACATTTCTCTGAAACTTGGCTGAAAATAAGGGGGTGGAGCAGCCGAAGTCCAAAACAAAACTTAAAACTCCAGGAAGCCTGAATAAACGTTTATCTAAACCACTTTAAAGGATTACAAGAACGAGTGAAGACTTTTGTTTCTGCTTTAAACGTAAGTGCAGGCTGTACCAAGGATTACAGAAGCAAGAAACAAATGAAAAAAAGATTAAAGGAGGAAACGAGGAGAAAGGCATCATTAGTTGTTTGTTTTTTTTAATTACTACAAATGTCAGAAACCCCCAAAGAAAACCACCTGGTTCAACGAAGACGTCTGCAAATTAATTTAAAAAAAACTTTTCTACACGAAGCACTAAAAGTTAATCTGGTGCTCCAAGGGACATTTAAAAAATTAAATTAAAATAATTTCCAGTGCTGGTGGATTCTTGTTTCAGCAGTTTACACATGTACAGTAGTCAATCGATTATAGCGGGGGCTACGTTCAACACACTCCCATGATATATGAAAAACCGCCAAGTAGGAACAATATATTTATTTTAAGGCTTTATAAATCCTGTCCACACTATTGCAATGTTCTAACCTCTTAAACCCATGTCATTTTAGCAATTTACGTATATGTACTGCATTACAAAATTTTGTGAAGGATGAATTCATCTTCAGGATCATTTGTAACTTTCCTGCCAGTTTTGTGAGTTTAACAGATAAAATCGTTACTTGGAACTTTGCTAAACTATTTTTACCACATCAGTTTCTCCGCTCGTTGTTTGCTCCCTCCATTGCCGTTCTTTGAATTTCTGCAGAAAGCAGCGGCCATAAGCACGGTTGGCTTCTGGGCCATGTACTGTATTTTACGCTGTATAAGTTGCGTTTTTTTATTTATTTATTTATTTTGCATAATTTGCATGCCCTGCGACTTATAGGCCGAAGCGATGAATTTATGGATTCCCGCCCCCCCATACTTATAAACCAATTTTTGGTTGACATATGACAGTTTTCATTAATTTTAAATGAAAAAAATTGAACACTACCATTTTCAGCCACTAGATGGCACTCTAGTAGTAAGGCATGCCGTTGTGTCATGTAATAGTGGCTATTAATGACAAATTCAAAAAAGTTCAAGACAAAAACAACTGGACTTTTTTATACTTTATTGTTTTTGTCTTGAACTTTTTTGAATTTACCGTCCTGGATGACTAAGAATCATCACCAGCTATTAATGACACAACCGGCTTGCCATAGCACCACCTTCGTTTAGCTCGTTACTTGGAGCAACCATCAAATCAGCTTCATTTCGCTGCACCGCCCCAGAAAACTGCAGCTGAATTGACCATTGAAGTGCATTTATTAAGTAAAAGTACAACTGAGAAACACCTTTACTATAAAAGTTGAGCAAACAATTGTGTTTTTTTTGGTGCTTATCTTGTTAAATTTCGAATAAATGAAAAGGGTCTCGTCCCTCTGTGCGTGCCCGCTTCCGCAAAATCGGGTTTTGAAATATTTGACTGTCAAAGTGCATTTATTAAGAAAAGTTAGACAGAGATATCTTTACTATAATTTCAAGCAAACGAATTGTTTTTAAGTGTTAATCTTGTTCAGTTCTTGTTAAAGTTCTCCCGTGCACGCTCCCGCAGCCGCCATTTGGTAGCCAATCGATATTTGGCACAACACCGGCCCACATGTCCGGGTCGTCAGCGGTGACGCGTAACAAACGCGACGTGGCAGTGGTGACGCATAATAGATGTGACGTATACGGCGAAGTGACATATTTATGGATTTTCCCACTTTATTAGACATATTTGGACCGATGCGACTTATAGGGCGGAGCGACGTGTACAGCGGAAAATACAGTAGTTCTTATGACTTGTGTTACGAACGAAAACTACAAAATGGCAGCGCCTGTACCAAGTTTGATCCTTCCTTTTTTTTTGGTCCTACTTGTTGGTTCCCACTTCCGTTAACATTTTATCCCGTACCGTCCCAATCACGTGAGTAATATTAAAATTGACAATCGTGCGTTGTATAGAATCTTAGATTGAAAATCTGCGAAAGAACGAGTCTGCGAATGTCGAACCGCGACGTATCGAGGGACTACTGTAGTCCTATAGAGCCAACAGTTTTTCTCCTTCAGTGTCGCCGTCTGAATGTACTTATCGATTGTGTGGCTCAGACCCTACAGAGGTATTCCACCTCCAAAGGGTGACCTTCACAGAATGTAATGAGATGAGAGGAATTCATGCTCTGCTCCGATGAAGATACATTTCAAAGATTTTAGGGTGCACGTGCACACAGACAGATTAGGCCCCTGGGGGCGTTGAAATGCTAAACAGGCGAATCGACCCTCGGCGCTTCAGGTCTTTGAATCTTTCACCTTTTAAATGGAAAACAGCTCCAGCTAATACCGCCTTATGACTGGAAACTTATTATTCCATCCATCCATGCACAGATTTAAATATATTAAAAAATAATAATAATAATCCAGTAGATTTCAATTGTGTTTTTGATGTTCTTTATTAATTCTTCATCTGGAAATACAAAGGCCAAATATAAGGTCCAGTTAGAAAACACAATACTGGAATAAATAAAAATTTTAAAAACAAAAAGAAAATCTTTCAGGTCAAGATGGCGAGAAATAAATCCATAAAAACACACAAAGACAACAACGTGAATTCTTCGATAAGTTGCAGAAAACTCAAACAAAAATGGAAGAAAATGTTAATAAAGTCAAACAGGTTAAACCTACGGAGTCTCGTTGATAAAGACGTTAATAACCAGAGCGTCTGCTAATAAAACGGTAAATATTGGAGTGTTTTGACGCCAACATCCATCTGCCACCTCAGCAGAACTGCTGCCCCCCTCATGCATTTTTAAAGATCTCCAATCAATATTCATTGTTATCAAAACTAACACTGTATAATATTGCACAAGCCCAAAATTCATAATTCATGGGATGAAAAGGTTTAGAATCTGAGGGAGGGATTGGGGGGGCAGGCAGACGCACATGAAGTGGCAGGTCATGTCGAGTCCGGAGAAGCCGTAAAAAATCCTCTTTGATTTGGTTTCTCTGTTACGGTCTTGTCGGGGGTGGGGGTGCAGCTTAAATAATGCTGGGCCCATAAGAACAGACAATAATAAGTATCTGCTGCAAACAGGAACATCCACACGCAGCAGCAGAGAACACACATAAACAGGTTATTAACTAAAGATTAAACCGTTTTTATTATTACACTTAATGGTGAATACTTTGTTCATTTCAAAAATATGCAATACAAAACTTTTATTTTTGGATTTTCAAACACAAAACATCAAAGTGCCATAAAACATTAGACGATAAACTCAACTAAAAGCACGGCGGGGGTGAGTGACAGAAGTGTTCAGTAGAATTATTCACAGGGCTCCGACCTGAGACGACGTCCATCCGTCTTTATCAACCCACAGCAACGGCAAAGTCTCTGAATATAGAATTATGTTGGCGGCTGGAAACTTAAAATAACGTGGCATCAGCATTCGTAAGAAATCAAAGCCGACCAGAAAGAAAGATGCCAAGTGGTTCTGAGAAATGCGCACAGAGAAAACGTTTTTATGAACATCCTTTAAAAAGCCAGAACCATCAGCTCACCGTGAACAGGACTTCAACTGAACAAGGACACAAATTTGATTTGAATTTAAATACAATACATTCTAGTTTTTATTTCAGGCATCTGAAAACAGCAGGTTGGTCTTTAATCTGCCATTTGCTGAACAACAAATAAAAAAAAATGCTACATTTTTATTATAAAATCATATTTTTATGGATTTATTCGTTTATATCCGTCTGCTCATGGGTGTGTTGTCTGTCTCCAGGTACACGTCTGCTCAAATGAAAGATTGGGACACTTCACCTTCGCTGCACCTTTGGGGCGATTCTTCTGAAGAAACGCCCACAAACGTGCATTTCTGAGGACGTGTTGGCGCAAGGTTGACTTGAAGAAGAAAGTTTTTACATACACTTTGGACTATTTTAGTAGAAATTACTTTCAGGTTTTTAATTTTATGCCGTTTTCAAATTGTATTTACACCTTGGATGGTAAACATCTTAAAAACATTTTAAACAGGAAGTACAACGGAGAACAAACTGGACTTTTCTGTCCAAACAAGTGCAGCTAAATGCAGAGAGCATGCGGAGATGCCTCGAGGTGGTCGAGTCCATCCTCTAAACACGGGAACCACAACTATTTAAAGTTTTGATCAGCCCCCACGACTGAATCTCAGCAAACGTTCAGATGTGAGAGGTCAAAGTTGGAGTCGTTTGCTAAAAACACTACAAAGATCAACTTCTGTGAAAGGAAAAGCGTGCGCCTGTTACTTCTGTGGCCCGTGTGAGTCGGGAGGTGGAGTGGTGGAATAAAAGTCACGTACATCACCAGCTTTGGGTTCTGGACGTTCAGTGTTTCAGGTAGAACCGATCAGAGATCAGAGCAGCTCCAGCAGTCTCGTCACCGCTGACTTCTGATACAAGAATGAAAGATTCACCACCTTTAAATCAGCAAACGGAAAATAAAACGAGTAGTACGCTCAGCTAAAGAAGACTACTGCCATATGGCGGGTAACAACCTCCACCTCTGACCCGTCAGATTTTTGGTGGAGTTAAATTGTTGTTTGCTGCCCCCTAGAGCTGAGAGCAAGGCAGTGCATGTGTGGATGGGAGGGAGAGGGGAACAGGAGAGAAGGGGGGAGGTAGAGAATAAAGGAGGAGGATTTGGGGTGGTGCTACTCATCGCAGCCCAGAAGTTCCATTCGAAGGGTGATGTGCTCGTGCCACTCCCACGGCAGGAAGCGGACATATCTGCTGTAGAGCGGCGGCTCGAAGATGTTCTTCTTGTGAACGTTGTTGTCACTGTTGCCCGGGAAGATCTGGACAGAGGAAGGAAACCGAGAAAGATCACCTACAGAGCCCAAGACACCTGCTAAAGACTGAAATATTTTGTAGTCACTACATTAATAACTTAAAAAATAAAAACCTGCAGCAGCAGGGTGACCTCCAGATTAAGAGCATTTCAGGGCTCTTCAACTAAACTGCTCAGGGGGCCACAGTTTCTGAAAGCCAGCAGCGCAGGGGCCGAAAATCCAGCAATTAAAGTCATTATGTAAATAAACCAAGTATTACAATGATCAGTTACTTTTTAAATTTGTTTATTATTTGCATTGAATCAAATACAATAAACGGAACCCAATTATGCTCCGTATTTTCTGGCATACAAGTCGCATTTATTTAATTTATTTAATGGTCAAAACAGCTTCATTTCACCTCGGCGGCGCAGCGCCATCCATCCATTCGTCCATCCATCCATCATTAGCTAGTAGCTACTAGCTCGCCAGCGTTCCTCCGCCTGCACCAGCTGAGTGAAGCGAGCGTGCATGAGAGGACTCGCTGTTGCAGTTCTTACAAATTTAAAGCGTTGGTCAAAAATTGTTATGAATATGGAAAAAAAAAATAATTATACAAGTCGCTTTGGCGTATAAGTCACACGACTGACAAATCTATGCAAAAAAAAAAAACTGCGACTTACACACCGGAAAATACAGTAATTCAAATAAATTACATTTCAAAAATTATATTCTTGCAAGTATTGATATTATTACATGAAACAAAATAAAAAAATAAAAAAGGCACATTATGCCTCCAATTTAACACAAATATTATTCTGACATCTCTGACGTGCCAAATCTTTACACCATTTTATTTTTATTCATCTTGTTTTGATGCTACAGTTGCAGCACGGTGGCGCAGTAGGTAGAGCTGCTGCCTCTCAGCGAGCAGGTTACACTGGTTCAAATCCCAGTGCGGGGGCCTTTCTGGGTGGAGTTTGCATGTTCTCTCCGTGCATGCGTCCATTTTCTCCGGGTGCTCCGGTTTCCTCCCACAGACCAAAAACATGCATGTTAGGCTGCCTTCAGGCCCAGAAGAGATCTGTGGTCTCAGTGGGATTTGCCAGGTTAAATAAAGGTTAATAAATAATAATACTAATGAGAGAAATGGCATTTCTTCGATTGGACGACGGCAGAACAGTCCGGTTCAAAAGACGTCGGAGCGACTGGCAGCAATGATGCGGGCGCTCATTTGTTGAGGAGGAACGAGTTGTTTTTACGACGGTGGAGGGACTTCATCTGTGGTGCCACAGCTGACAGCCGCGCCAACAGCGCAGCTTGTTTTTGCAGGTGAACGTCGGAAGCAGGTGGAGAAGTCCGGTGGAAGCCACGGTGTTTGGTTAGAAAATGCCTCCGCAGGTTGGACTCCCTCGTCACGGCGCTGCAGACGTTTTACTAAAAACGTATTTTTCCGTCCTCCCACTGCTGAATTTACAGTTTTCAATGTGAACTTTTCTTTTTTTCAGCTTTATAAATGCAATGTGTTGCTGCGTTTTCTGACTCCTCTTGTTAGCAAGCAGCTACAAACACGTCACCGGTCCAGACGGCCTGTGGGCGTCGGGAATCCTCGATGATTGGCTGCTCCAACCGACGGCCCGGGATCACAGATCGTCTAAACAAAAAGGATCACCTCTCTGATGAAAATATTTCTCTTTTCTGATTTTGTTGTTATTCTGCTGTTTTTCTGATTTCAAATCCATTTTTATATTAAATGAAGTCATTGGCATTTAGTTGTATAACCCTGTCATAGAGCATCCAATAGAAAAGGATTACTACCTCTTGTCATTTCAAACAATTTAAAAGATCTTTTTTGTGTCCAGAGGACCAGACTTAACTTTTTTAGATCTTTTTTGTGTGTGTGTGTTTTTTTTTTTTTTATGAATTCATTGGTGGGTCAGAAATGGCCCGCGGGCCACCAGTTGAACAGCCCTGGAGTAGTCGTCTTCCAAACGAAGGAGAGTTTGGAGTGGTTCTGAAACAAATGTCTGGAGCCAACAAGACTATTTTTGTACCTTAATCCAAACTATTAATTATGTTTGTTGTTTAAATATGCATGTTTGTTGTATAATGTTTTCATGTTTTACATCAGCCAAGTGTGTGTGTTGGACCCACCCTGTCGTTTCCTGTGGTGTTATCCTTCACTACGGTCCAGGTCTTTCCATCATCACTGAGGGCAACTTTGAAAGCTGTAACAAACTGAATGGAGCCGAAGTCTTTTGCCCCCTGCGTGATGATTCCTGTAATCTTCTTAGGAGACAGCAGGTCCACCTGAAGAGCAAAAGACAAGTTCACCTTACAGAATATATCAGATTCAAACAAAGGCATTACTCAGACCTGCCCTGCTCGCCCACCTGCAGCCACTCGGAGCGGTCGTTAGTGGCAGCAGTCCAGGCGTTGGTCTTGCCCTGTTTGTCCAGCCGAGCGTAGTGCGGCTGCCAGGTGAAGGCCTCGAGGCCCCAGGTGCGGAAGGTGCTGGAGGCTGTGATCTGACGGTCCAACACCAACCTGGACTTCATGCCCAACGGCTCCGAACAACCTGAAGTGTTTGAATACACTGTGGAGGTGAGACCAGGACGAGAGGAGGAGCCAGAGAAAAAGAAGGCGTGATAGACGAGAGGCAAACAGGCAGCAGCCACAGGCGGGTGGAGATGTGAGGCGGCAAAACAGGCAGGTGGAACAACATGGAGGCTGAGAAGCTGCTGCAGTAGACTCAAACACGTACAGCTGCGGATCAGGTTTAGCTGTGGTCACGCAAAGTTCTTAAAGTATGATGTAAACTCAAGTTGACAAACTTACAGAGCTCACAATAAACTTTAAGCTCATGTTAGTGGACGAGCTGAAAATGTAGCAATAAATACATTTAGCTGAAGGAGCTGTCCAAGACTGCAGCTGTTTGTTTACTGATCCAACAAAACGACATCAAGTCAGTAAGAGTGAAAAAGAAAAACATAAAATGTGATTATGAGCCTTTTGTATTAAAGTAGATGCATTTACCGTGAATAGCACAAAAACATTTTAACAACGCCATCATAAAATCATGCTTCAAGTAGAAGGAACAAACGCTGATCGGACAAACGAGACGACCGTTGAAGACGCATGCAATGAGCCCCGCAAGTTTAAAGCAGCGCGTTGCTGCATGAGGACAAAGAAGAACAGAGTAATGGCTGCAGAGTAGAAAGCACCACGACGAACCAAAACAAACAGGATCAACGTATTCTGTGCTGGAAACATTTCCTGACACGTCTGCATCTCAAGAGTTGTACTAATATAATCATGTGGTTTGGATAAACTTTATGAATAATCTTGGAGCATTAGCCGTTTATACAAAGTTCTTTTTTTCGCTTGAGTAACATTAAGAAAATATACATGAACCCAGGTGAAGGGTTAAGAGTGAGGAAGGAAACGGAAACAAACCGATAGCCAAAAAAACTGCTGGATTTCGTTTTTTTTTTTTTTTTTTTAAATTGATGCGAAAACCAAATGCGTGTTTGCACACACGCTCCAACACGTGTAACTGAGTTTACCGTTGAGTTCGCAGCCCACCAGCTCCATGCGCAGGGTGCAGGCTTTGCGGCACACGATGGGAACGATGCGGATGTACTGGGCGATGATTGGGGGGTCGAACAGGTTGGTCTTGATGCTGTCGTTGTCCACGTTTCCAACAAATATCTGTTAAAGTAGAAGGGAAGTTTCTTCAAGTGCACTTCATTTGGTCAGCAGTAATTAGTTTACGATGCATCAAATGTTAAAAATAATAATTTATGATGATGTTGTGAGATTCCTGGTAAAAGCAAAAATGTTCACCAAATCAGAATTTTCACCTCATGCTCAGTAACTTATACTTTATATTGTTGCTATTATTGGGTGTAACTGGAACCTTGAGTACACAATTTATTTCCACCTCATGTACCACGTGATGCAAATGACAAAGTCTCCTTGAACCTGGAGTACGCTGTTCTTGTCAGGGGGGTCATGGCTGCTCACGGTTCTTGTGTAACGTCTCCCTCAGTCCCCCATCCCACAACAGATTGATGATTTGATGCAGGTGAGGTGAGCTGGTGACTTGCAGTCGAGGCCAACTCATTCAGTAGTGCAGTTTGATCGTCCCACCTTGGCCTGAGAATAGTGTCTACTACTATGTGCACTAACTATGCTAACTGCACGTAGCAATACACAACAAACAGCCATGCATGGGTTGTATTGTCTAAATGACATCACTTCATGGTCTCTACGTACTACAAGAGTTGAATTCTTGACCTTTTCATTCCACTTTAAACCCACTTGCACAGGTCGCAGTAATGTTACAGCAACTTTATTCCTAGTCATACGTATAATACATGTTTCGAGTAAATCACTGCTCTTTCTAGTAAATTATGTTCATGTTTTAACTGTGACTTAAGTTATCACCGGGGTATCTGGGTAAACGTGTCTGGTTGAGGGGACAACGGTTTAGTCCATCCTTACCTGGTCTTTTCTCTGTCCCTCTGTCCTGTACATGGTGTACGTCTTGCCGTCCAAGCTGGAGGCCACTTTGAAGGCCTTAATGAACTCTGCGGTCCCCATGCGACTGGCACCCTGGGTGACGATGCCTGCGAGTCGCATCTTTCTTTGCATGTTGATCTGTAAACGTCAAAACAAATAATGGGGTTCGTCCACATTATGTCATCGTCATTAAATCAATGTTACCGTCGATCTAATGATTTAAGTTTTGTAGCTGCTGGTGAACTACATCGCTGTACTCACCACTATCCATGGGTTCTTGTCATGTGCAGCTGGACTCCAGGCATTCACCAGACCCTTGTTGTGGAGGCGTGCCAGCTCAGGACCCCAGCGCTGCAGGCCCAGCAGACTGTAGCGGACTGATGAGGCCGCGATCTGGGACTCCGCGATGCCCCCTCCTTGCATGCCGAGCATAGAAATACAGCCTGTAGAGGGAAGAAGATGGGCAAATTCAGATTCCAGCATCTCCAGCTTCATCAGCAACATGCTTGAAAACTTTCAAAATAGTGCTATGCGTTAATAAAATACATAAAATGCAGTGTAAAGGCCATAACGTTATTACAGATGCAAAGCAACGCACCGACCTAACTGAATTTAAAAAAAATTTAAAAAAGCAGAGGAAGCGTTTTATTCTCCTCATTGTTCATTACAAAGCCTGGCAGTTTGGTCCAATCCCATCATCCTTAGGATTTTCCTTCATTTAAACAGTCTAATCCAAAAGCACAAACTTCATCATGACCTTACTTTTATTTTTTTTTTTAGTTGGAGACTATTTTAAAAGCGTCCCACAAGTGGTAGTCACACTTACGCAGTTGGCAATGTTTGCCGACATAAGGGGAGGGACAGTGGCACTTGAAGTCTCCGTCCAGGTCTCTGCAGCTGCCACCGTTCTGACAAGGCTGCCCGGCACAGTCGTTCACATCTGCAGAGAAATCAATCAGTTATGATTATAATTAATAACTTTAAAAAATATATATCATGTAGCCATGCTGCTAATTAGATTAAACTTTTGATGAAGACTCTAAACAGAAGAGATTATGCTAAAGTAGCTCAAAGGGAACAGTGTTGATTCCTGTAATTCCTTCTACCACCTCTTGATGACGCTCTTACGAACACCACCAGTCCTCAAGTTTACAGCTTGTGTGGCAGAGAGACGAATAAAGAAATGTGAATTTCTCCTTCGCAAAACCCACCAACGTAACTAAACCGGCTTTGAACATGCTCCAGACATTTTGGGACAGTATGACATTTAATCTGTAACAACGGATCACACACACAAGCGATTCATTTAAATCTCTAAAGTTTAATTTATTAGTAGTTGTTAAAAGAAAGTGACGCAAGCAAACCAGCCACACGGATGTAACGCCTGAAACGCACACGGTTCCATCTCACTGCCTACATGCTCCTTCTATAAATAACTTGATGTATATTTATTCGCACTCATAGAAGGAGTACAGTAATTTGGAAACGTGCAGCCACAAGCTCTAGACAACGGCCTGATGTTCCGACTCTGCTGATACTGGAAGTCCAACGTGAATCCCAGGAAATGAAAGCAGCAGCTGCATGATGGGAGTCATTACTGATGAATTCCCAGTGTGTCGGGGAAGGACACCTTTAGGTTGTACAAGAAAGACAACGATGATTACAGGTTTATAAAATAAAACGATGATAAAGCCACTTCAAAGTATTATGACTTGTTCCATACTAAACTTAGACGTTCAAACATTTTTTGGTAGAATCAAGTTTTCTAAGTGTACCTGGGGGAGTGGTGGCGCAGGGATTTGTAGATCATAGATCCTTTTATACGGTTTCTTTTTATACTTTTATTTTTGGGCCTAACTGAGACCACGTGTACACAGTTTCATTCCACCTCATGTACCACATGTGATGTGAATAATAAACATGAACTTGAGATTAGAGAAGGTGAGCCTGTGACCGTCGAGAGTAGGCCTGTCAAGATGATAAACTTTGCTGGGCGATTGTCTCAGAAATTTCTAAAAAAAAAAGTTAAATCTGGTCCTCTGGACATTCAAAAAACAAAACGAAACAAAAAAAATCTAGAAACGTTTCGTCTTTCATCCATAAGACTTCCTCAGTCTGAGGTGCCGTGCTCAGCTCAGTCTTATAAATAGCACCTTCTCAGAGTGGATCAACCAGTTTGCTGCTGACAACCAGAACCAGCTGCTCACATGATCTAGAAACAGCCATCAGGGTGCTAATGATCCATTGTTAGGCCGATGGTCCTTCTAGATCATGTGAGCAGCTGGTTTTGGTTGTCAGCAGCAAAACTGGTTGATCCACTCTGAGAAGGTGCTATTTATAAGACTGAGCTGGACACGACACCTGAGACTGAGGAAGTCTTTCGGATGAAAAACGAAACGTTTCTACATTTTTTTTTTTGTTTTGTTGTGTTTTTTGAATGTCCAGAGGACCAGATTTAACTTTTTTAGATTTTTCTACCTGGATTATTGAGCATGCATCAGGATATCAGGATGGATGATGTGTCTCGAAATTATTGCCATAAATGATAATATTGTTTGAAATTTAAGAAGAAATGTTTGGTCATTTATTTTGCGTGTAGTATCTTTTTTGACCACCGGATAGCAGTATAAGACTGAAGCAAAGGATGGATAGTGAGTGAGAGAGCAGCGTATTTCTAAGAAAAAATGGGAGGGAGGCCTCTTGACTTGACATGAGCAGACTCTCTGGTTCTCAAAATGGCAGATGCTCGGTGTGGTTTGAGCTCTTTAGCATTTCTCACACAAAGCTTTAAATAAATAAAAATTTTAAAAAGTAAACAAGTTGGCTTCTTTTTGCAGAGAAAAACAACTTTTTACACAAAGGCACAGGTTTCAACTGTGAATTTTGGAACTTCAACAAGACAGACTCCTCCTCCTCCTCCTGTCGGCCTGTTAGCTTAGCTCATAGCTTAGCTGCTTTTAACGATCCAAAAGTGCGATTTGGGACGGTTAAAATGCACCAAAACAAGTTGTCTCAAAGACACACCACCGTCTACAAATCTGCATTAGTCATTAAAGATGGACTGAGAACGTCCTGAGGAGCGTCAGCTGGTGGCACCTTCTTCTCTAATAGGATTGAGCATCTAGTTCAGTCAGCTCCACCATCTAATCCTTTTATCATGTCGGACAGCTACATCACCGACAGGACAATAAAATTAATTTATCATACTTGCATATCCAATATAGACTACCTGGTATCACCTGCTTTAGCTTCTTTGATCACTAAACCACACCGTGTGCTTACACGTAAGGGTAAGGTGAGAACCGCATACAGACAATCCAACATTCAACACATCGGCTGAAACGGACCTCTGCTACAGAAATCAACATCTGCCTCTGCATGAAGACAAAATCAACAGAAATCTCACAGCTGGCGTGAAACCTGAACGCAACATAAATCCAAGGGGAGCTGAAATGTGGTGATCAGCAGAGCAATCTGCATCTGCATCCATTTGTGAGCCGCGATGTTCGTCTGTTCTTACAAATGAGACCTCATCTCACAAGATGCATAAAAAAATGACAGTAAACATCGATGATAACCAGAACTTCTCAATCTAGTTTTGAAAATTCAAATGAAGCACTTCAAAAACTAAAATATTTTTACTAACTTATATTGAATGCTTACTTTAAAAAAAGTAGCCAATTTAGGTCATGACAACATTATCAAACATAAAAACGTAAAAATAATAATAATAATTAGCTTCTAGATGCATCATCTTCTGTGCAGGCTGCAGGAATTGTCAGTGGAACCTAAAATAAATTTGATTGGACGATAAATGCGACCTCTCAGGTGAAACTTCTGATGTCATGGAGGTATTTTTATCCACCAGGATCTAGAGCAGAGTTCGACAGAACGCTTTTAAAACTGAACATTTTTACAAACTTTGATTATCACGACGCACTTCTACAGTTTGGAAAGCTTTTCTTATCACGGTCAAAAATGTTGACATCATCAGAGTGTATATTTTAAACCAGTGGTTCCCAATCATGGTCTTTGAGGAACACCATCCTGCATGTTTAAGTCGTTTCCCTGCGCCAACACACCTGATTCAGTGATTTCATTACTCCTTCAAGTTCTGCCAAAGCCCGTTAATCACATTCATTCAAATCAGGTGTGCCAAAGCAGGGAACCCACTAAAACATGCAGGACGGCGTTCCTCGAGGACTAGGGTTGGGAACCACTGGTTTAAACGACGAGTAGATACTGTTGCCTCTAAATATTTAGCTTTAAAAAATAAACGTTGAAAAAATGGTACCACTTTACAATAAGGCTCCCCTTATAGATGGCTAATAAATAGTTTATAGAAAAGTTATTAATTCCTCTATAAACACTTTATAAACCATTAATAACTACTTATTATGCATTAAGGGCGAGAAAGAGACAACTCAGTTTCTTTCCAAATAGTGAGTCAAATCCGTTCCAATATATTTAATCTACAGTTGTTAGATTAAACATTTCAGACTACCTTGTAAGCACAACAAGCATTTGTAAACCAATTTCTTTAGCATATAATATTGTACTTTATCACTGCATTATAAGTATCTACAACTAATATATCCTAAAACATTAGGTTTTCAAATGCTTGTTGTACTTACAAGGTAGTAACTTAGTGTGAAATGTTAAATATAACAACTCTAGATTAAATATATTGGGGAACAGATTTGACTATTTGGCAACAAACTGGTCAGTTTTGTCCGTCACCCTCAATGCATAAACAATTATTAATGATTTATAAAGTGTTTATAGAGGAATTAATATAAACTATAACTGTAAGCTATTTATTAGCCATCTATAAATGAGGAGCCTTCTTGTAAAGTGGTACCAAAAAAAAAAAACAGTTGTGTTGCATATAATAATGTTTTGATTCTAGAAAAATGAACCCCGGGAGCTCTAAAAAAGGTAATAGTTTGTCTTAATGACAAATCAACCAGGAAATTCACATTGTTTTCCTAAAATCCATGACAACATGCAGACACGGTCCGTCCGTACTCCTCAGGGGGCATGAGGCCCAGTCAGCCCACACAACCATATCCTGGGAGGAGCCGAAACTCTCCCCAAAACAGCGACTTTACTACATTCATACACTATTTGGTGACTTCCACAGGGTAAAAATAACTGCCTTAAGCCGATCTGAAAATCTGGGATTTAGAGGAGTACAAGCAAGAAGAGAACTTCATCCTCCCTCTGTGTTTCCATCCATCTGCTTTGGCCTGAAGTGATCAGCTGGTCTCCCCCCACAGCAACTCCATATAAGATGCACTCACCGAAAACACATTTCTTTCTCTGCCTCCCATAAAGGCTTTTAAGCCCATTTGAAAGGACTGTCAGAGCCGCTGCAGTCAGACCAGAGTAGCAAGTGTGTCATTGTCAAGAGGGCAGACATAATTCGCCGTGCCGCCTCCATGTTCATTTTTTCGCCCGGCAACAGAAGCAGCGCTGACGTTTCGTGGCGTTCGGCGCAGACCGCCACTTTCTGTTGGCTGGATTTGCACGAGGGATGAACCGTGTGGATCTTAAACAGTCGGCATACGAGCTCATGAGCTGTGCGTGGTTCATGTGGGACGTGCAGAACGCACACGATTAAGCTTTTTCCAATCAGAGTCCCACTGATCCCTTGAGCTCCTGAATATTCAGTGATCATTTAAAAACATTTCACCTACACAGTGAAAACTAAATTTGAACTTGTCCTGATAAATGCTCGGACTCCGTCTTATAAGCAGCACCTTCTCATAGTGGATGAGGAGAAATGAGACGCTGAGAAGGTTCTGCTTGCAAGACTGTTGGTTGCAGCTCCTCAGACAGAAGAAGTCTTTTGGATAAAATACCAGATGTTTCAAAGAAGAACCGTCCAGAGAACCTGACTCAACCTTGTTAGATAAATTTCAACGTATTCCCACAACATAACTCAAACTGTGGGAAATTAGATGATGCAGTTTGCCAACAACCATTTGAATCCAGCTTTAATTTGTTTAAATATAATTTTTGGAACGCTTTAAATTTTGTCTCACAGACGCCAGACTTTCTCGCCCATCAACTTGTGGTATTTATTTTTGTAGATCATAACAAAAAAAGAGGAACAAACTGCGAGTACAAGCATTCAAAGATACGATTTAAAATGCACTTTTACAATGCCAGTCCAGCTTCGTTTATCTAGACTTTGGGTGCTTTATCGTGCATGAATACCTCATCTGTAACTGTTAAAAGTGTTTGGGAACAAAAAAAAAAACTGGCCTGAAAATTTATACGTCAGAAGAAAACCTAAAAAGAAATTTATTGTTGTTCAAGATCACCTTAAAAACCACGACTCGAGGGAGTAAGAAAAAGACCGAGCGACAAAAAAAAAGTGGCTTTGGTTTTTAGAGCAACGTTGTTTACTAGAAGTTTATATTTTGTGGAAAGTCTAACTTTTTTTTTTTTTTTAATCAGTTGGATCCAGTGCGTTCACAACTACTCGTTTAATTTAGTTCACGTTACTCAACAGGAACTGAACATTGAAAATTACTGAAAATTTGCTGGTTAGCCAAAAATATAAGTTTCCCTTCTGTGATCTCTGGACAGGTGTCACCCTACACAATAAATAAATAAATAAATAAATAAATAAATAAATAAATAAGGGATGCATGATATTATCAGCATGGTATCGGCCGATATTGGCGATAAAGTTAAATATCGGACATTCCATCAAAATAAGTCACTGATATAAAAGACGCTGTTTTTTTTAAGACAACCCAGTGACGAGGATGTCTGCAGCGCCAGCACAACGTGATGACATCATGCGCGCCTACCTGATCTCAGCACGGCGGAGGGGAAGAAGTCAAAATGTCGGCAGTGAGGAAGTGTTTTCTTTGAGGATATTTGATTCCAAAGAGTTTTGGACTACGTTGAACTTCGCTACATCGTCCCCAGTCAGATATTTTTCCAACGTAGCCTCACCAGAGTTACAAGTTGTCATTTTCTACGTCAAGTGTTAGCCCCATTAGCATGATTAGTCTTACGGCACAATGGACATTCATGTCCTTCATGCACAGGAGTGCAGAGGATCCCACACTGCAGCTATAGGAACCTGGAACAAACCTCCACAAGGGAGACAACATCGCAGGTAATAAATAATAATAAATAACATTTAACACTAGCGACAAAATGTTTTTTTGAATGTCCAGAGGACCAGATTTAACTTTTTTAGATTTTTCTACCTGGATTATTGAGCATGCATCAGGAACATTCAACACTGTTCATTTAATACAAGTTAAATTGTTATGCATACGGCCGTTACTGAATATATGTCACCAGCTCTTAAAGCGGTTACACAATTTTTGTAGCAAATAAGAATAAATAAGAGGGTTCTGTTCTGACAAAGGAAAGTATATAAAAAATATCGGTATTGGTTATCGGCTAGGGGCAGCACGGTGGTGCAACTGGTAGAGCTGCTGCCTCTCAGCGAGCAGGTCCTTGGTTCAAACCCCGGTCCAGGTGCCTTCTGGGTGGAGTTTGCATGTTCTCTCCGTGCATGCGTGGGTTTTCTCCGGGTGCTCCGGTTTCCTCCCACAGACCAAAAACATGCATGTTAGGCTGATTGGTAACTCTAAATTGTCCCTAGGTGTGAGTGAGAGAGTGAATGGTTGTTTGTTTCGTTTGTCTCCATGTGGCCCTGTGATGGACTTGCGACCTGTCCAGGGTGTACCTCGCCCCTCGCACAGTGAGTGCTGGACATGGGCACCAGCGACCCCCGTGACCCAAAATGGAATAAACGGGTAAAGATAATGGATGGATGGTTATCGGCCAAATAAGTCTTAACATATAGGATTTTTGGCCGATATACCAATATTGCACATCCCTAAAATAAATAAATAAAATTATACTGTACAAAAAAAGATCCCCTCAACCCCCCAAAACACTAAACAGTTAACAGCGCTTCTGACAGTAGTTTAAGGAAAATAAATGTAAAATGTCATTATTGTCAGATTCTAAATTTAGCATTTATCTGGTTAAAAACAGTCATGATCTATGGAAAAGTCTCAGTTGATCAAATCGTTTCTGAAAACCTCTGCAAATTGTTCCAAAATAAATCTCGGTACAACTTATTTGCTCGCAGTGTGAGAACATTGGTCGAGTCTCTCTCTACACTGCGCCTCATATTTCTTTTGTCCTTTCAACTTGGAAAACACGCAGCCAGACTTGTGAAGTTCCACACAAACCACAAGATCAAATTATCATCCATTTCAAACCAGAATCCCCATGAAGAAAATTACAGGAGGTTGCTGACGCTCTTATTTGACTTAACCCCCACCAGAACACACATGTCATCACCATGTGTAAAAGCAGAGACTTCCCTGACCTTACAGCCCCCCCAGGAGGCTTCCCATAAGTCAGCATGTTCAAATTATTTCCCTCATCTTAATCCCGGTGATTTCATCCACTTTGTGTAAATGCCTGCTCTGTACAAGGCTCTTACTTTGACAGGTATGTAAACATGGCTGCCAAATGACTTGTGAAAGTTTAAGATAATTAGGTGATTTGAGGCTTTGAGGGTCAAACAGAAGAACACACAACTTCACTGTATTTCAGGTCAAATGAGAGCGTGTGCAAAATAAATTTCTCTTTGGGAAATCTGGCTGAAAACGGATAATTAGGAAACGACTTCACGGGCTCAGATGACACATGTGAAGCTTAAAGGCTGGAGGCATGAAGGACAGCAATAAATCTTTGAAGGAATGCGAGTCTCTCTCCGGTGTGAGTTGTTGAATTCCCTGATCTGTTCATGCAGCAAAGAACAGAAATGTGAAGAAGGAAAAGCCATGGCAAGACAAAGCAGACACCGATCTTTAATTTTCATTTCCACCATTACCTGCTTTTGAAATTAAATCTGCTCCTTGGACACCTGGAATAAAAAGGCATTCATAATCAAAACATGAATTACACTTGAGTGGTACTTGTGTTTTTTTTTTATCTTAACACTTTAATGGTGCCAAAAGTGCACAAAGTAGTAATATATCGTTTTCTCATGCAAATAGTTGCCATCCGTCTCTGCAAGTAGGACTTGAGGCATTAAAAGAGTCCAGTACGTTTTCACTCGTTCTTAGGCTGACCCTTCTTGAACCAAACATCTGCGTGACGTATGAACGAGAACGGCAGCTGTCTTCACATTAGAGTGTGACGTTACAAAATAAACCAGGATCTCACTCACTATATGTGAACAATCTGATGTGTGAATCACTGCAGGAGTTGTCTGAACTTTCACCGAACTGATAAAACAAGACGATGAACTCGGTTTGAAGCCGTTTGTCGTGCGGAGTATTTGAAGTGAAAAATGTTTTAAATGTTTGTAAAATACACCAGAATGCAGGAAATGGAATCCACTTTATTAAAAAAATTCCGTTGGTCGACACGCCTACAACCACACAAGCCAAAGAAAGACACAAAGAAAGAAAACAACAACAACAACAACAACAACAACAACAACAACAACAACAAAGTCAGTCCAAGCATCAAAGTTCATGCTCAAACATCCAGGTAAAAATTCAACACAGTTCAGCCAGGTCAGCTGGACATTTTGTTTTTTGAGACGATTCATCCTTCATCCAAAGGACTTCATCAGTCCAAGGAGCCACAAACAAACTCAGTCCCACAAGCAGCACACTCCCACAGAGGACAAACCAGTTTGCTGGTGATGAGATGGTTTCTGGGGCCCGCTCTCTCCCCCATCGACTCCTCTGAGGCAGCTATAGCCAAAGTGGTTCAAAACATCAAAGTTCATGCTCAATAATCCAGGAAAATCCCACAAAGTGAAAACTATGCGAGCTCAGCTTCACTGTCAAAACATGTGCATCTACTCCAAGATGATCCGGTGAAATGAAGGAAATTAAGTAGCAGAATTGCAGCAGCGCACGTCTCTGTACCCAAAGCCTTTGCTTCTTCGGGGTGGGGTTCAGCTGCAGGACTTGGGTAAAGTTTAATTCAGCAGAGGGGGGGTCCTTATGCTCAGTCTCGAGCTTTGAGATCATCTGACCAGCTGCTTTTGGCCGTACCAAAAACCAGGCTGAAGCTCAGAGGAGATCGGGCGTTTTCAGTCATGGGCCCTAAACTCTGGAACAATCTGCCCATCAACATTGGACGAGCCTCAGTCTCCGCTTTTAAATCTCTCCTCAAGACACACCTGTACTCACTGGCATTTATCAGAGTGATCCGATTTAGCATTTCATCGTTTCTACTTGCATTTCATGTTTTACGCTTTTATTCCTGATGCTGTAATTCAATTCAAATTCAAAAATACTTTATTAATCCCAGTGGGAAATTATATAATATATATAATATAATATAATATATCTTGTTATTGTCATTTAATGCTGTGATCTTTTTTGTTAAGCACTTTGATAACAGTTACCATTTTAATGTGCAATATAAATACATTTGACTTGGCTTGACTTAAATAACCAACGCATTCAGAGTGTTTTTACCTAAAGGGCCCATTCTTAGATTAAAGCTATCATGATTGTTGAGTTTCTCCTGACAAAAAGGTAAAAATGGCTTTTCACAAATTTTCACAACTTGAACTTATTCAACATAGACAAGAGTTGAAATGCCGAAATGATTCCACTTCTATAATACACCATTAGTTATCGTGGCATCACTGAAACCATTTGAAAAAGGAACATAAACTTACTGGTCTGGCAGTGAGCCCCCTCAAAACCTGGCTGGCATTTGCAGACGTACTCGCTGAAGACGTCACCTCGGCGGGAGTGGCTCATCACCTCGCAGATGCCGTCATTTTCACACGGGTTTGGACTGCACGGCCCTTTTAGTGGAGGCAAAATAAACTTAAAGACGAGCCAGAGAGCCACATTTACACACGCAAGGCTGTCTTTATGTAGCCATTCATGCGCAACGTTTTCTCAAAATACACTTTGACGTAAACATGCTGCAGCCATTTAAAATTAATATGCAACTACAAAAGATCTACAGTAGTCCCTCGTTTATCACGGGAGAGCCGCACCCTGAAGCCCCGCAGTAAGTGAAAAACCGCAAAACAATTTTCTAAACTCTAAACGCTCTAAAAGAGCACGGCATGTCATGATCTCAGCGCTGCACTCTTGGCCACGCCCACTTCTCCGCTGCAGGAGGAAGCTTCTCCTGCAAGCAGGTGCTAAATAATTTTAAATTATTTTAAATAAAAATTCCATGCCGATCGTGCGGCTCATCCATCAATCAGCCAATTGTGTGTCATGTCCAATCTTGTTTTGAAAAACCGCGAAGTAGCGAGGGACTACTGTACTGAAATTAAAGCTCAAACATGGTGGTTAATTAATGTGTGTTCTTCTAGCTCTGAGGAGCAGCTTAGAAAGACAAACATGAACAAACCGGACACTCCATAAAACTGACCTGTCTCAGTGTCATTGCAGAGATCTCCAGAAAAACCATCAGGGCAGATGCAGATGAACGGAGTCCCTGTCCCAGTCACACAAGTCCCTCCGTTGACGCACATATTCACTGCGCAGGGATCACCTACAAGAGGAAACATTTTAAAACTCCAAGCTGTGTGCCATCTGATGGTTTTAGACTCCCGTCGTTAGGGATACGGGATGTTGAAATTTGTAGGCGGATTTGATGTTTTTAAAATTTATTTCTTCACATTTACATTTTTTAAGGTTAGAGGGGGAATGGAGAAATTTACATCAACTCCCGTTAATGTTTTGTTTGTTTTACAGTTGCCTTGTTGTGCTGCTGGAGGACAAACGGCTCGCTGCAGTTTGAATGTGATGGTCTGAGCAGCTGAGTAAGCCTTCACAATGTTGTAAACGAACACTGGAAGCTCCCACCAGCAGCAACAGCAGGGTGTCACCAACCTAACAATCTGACAGCTCTGCTCTCCGAGGACTCGGGTCAAACACAGAGGAGCTGGAAAAAATGCCTTCCAGGAGACCGATCTTCTCAAAGACACAAAAGCTGACTCGGTTGATGTTTCCTAAATTGTTATAAGTACATTTATAGTTTTGATTTAAATGAATACAATAAAACAAAACCTCTGGTCCTTAGTGTGTTTGGGTAAAATCAACCTCAAATGAACGACTGTTTTTTTTTCCTCCCCCAGTTTCTCTGAGAAAGTTTACAGCTTTCAGAGAACAGTCTGGCCTTGGGTGAACTTGCAGGGACTTCCATTCTTGGGAAGTTTATCAGCCGTCCTGACGGCGTTCCTCATGAGAATAATATTTTAATCAGTGCCGAGCGCCCTGCTAGCTTAATTCACGTAGAAAAGGTGTTTCTCCACATACTGTTGCATTCTGGCTCATATTTGTAAATAAAAATCTAAAATGGATAATGCATCGTTTTTATTGTCATTCTGATGATTTGATATTTTTATAAAGGTTTTCTAAAACCCACAACCCTGCATGATTATACACTTCAATTAGTCTGCAGCTTTATAGGGCTAAACCACAGAAAACATTTACACGTGACAAAAATAGCTAACTTTACCGTTTAATTATTGTCAGTACAAAAAGTCATTTTATCACTTAGAACACTGAGGAGATAAACAGCTAAGAGAAAGTGTGGGTTTTTGTAATGCTCATGATTTAGATAATTGTTAAGGGCACATTCCTGCTGTAAAATTGATGCTTTAAGCACCAAAATGTCTGGTGTCATGGCTAAAAAACCTCCGAGTCTTATTCAGCGATTTACCGTGCGACAGTGGGGGGTAATTCTGCTAAATTTAAACGGAGTGCATAAATATTTCTAAGCATGTGTGCAGTTAAGATACGAGGTGGTTTAGCTTTTTGTTTGGTGAGGGAACTCTCCCAGAGGCTGCAGTCTAAAAAGAGCATTTTAGAGACTGAAGAAGTCCTTTGGATTAAAGACGAAACGTTTCAAGAAGAAGAATCCGTCCAGAGGACCTGACTCAACCTCGTTAGATTCATTCACCTGGATTATTGAGCATCCAGCAGGACATTTTAGAGATGATTACACGCGCACTTCTTTTGTTAAAACTTACACAAAACTTTTGTCCTTCAGAAACGCGTAATTCTAAGGTTATTCAAGCGTCTCCAAACACGAGTGAACAAACGGCTGCTCTTCAAAAGTGGACAAACCTAGAAAAATCTGTTACAAATGAGCTGGGTGGGGTGCGCAAAATTAAATTAACTTTTGAGGAACAAAATTTGAGTATAATCTATGGTTTATGAGTAGTTGGGGAGCTGTATGGTACACCTGCAATATATTCACTAGAAAAGAAAGAAAAATGGAGACGTACTTCGCAAACTTCCGATTTGGTCTTCTGTCCATGAACTGCACTTCTTCTGGTTATTAAGCGTTATCAGTAACGTATCCAGCCTCAAGGCTTTTAGTGCTTTCACATGCTCTGAAATTTAAGCAACTCGGCCCGCCTGGCACCAACACACGCTTATCAAGAATTACTGCCTGTTTATCCTCGGAGAGGAACACAACCTCCCCTCCCACTCGGGCAGCTCTCTTCAGGAAATGGTCTTTATGTCAAAAACAGACGTTTCAGCAACGATTTGATAAATGGTCACTTTAATTTTTCAAAGCAAAAGAAACTAGACGGACGTATGAAGGTTATTAAATAATGTCCAAGCGGTCGTTTGTGGTCCGCATTGACAAAAGTTGTAATTTAGCTGGGAGTCTCCCAGAGTGTGCTGAGGAAATTTAATTAAATGAATCAGTTGAGATCGTCTGCCAAGATCAAACCACCGAAACCTCCTCAAAAATCCCCAAATTCATGTGACCGTCTGGGAAAGCCACACTTGTAGAAAATTATAAAGAGGAATAAATAAATGCAAACACAAGTCAAACAAATACTGAGGTTTTGAGTTTCAATTCAGCAAATTAAAACTTTGTTGCACAACCGTCTGGCTTGTGCTAGAAATCCACTCATCATCCACATAAACAACTGATGTAGTCTCAGATAAAATAACTTGCTTCAAAGTTTATCTAGTTTCTATTGGTTTTTTGAAACATGAGCATTGAAAAGTCTAAATAAACAGAACCAAACGGGGATGTTTAAAAAAAAAAAAAAAAAAAAAAGAGATCTCGGTATACAAAACCCAACTGTTGACATGGATACGAGATGTGAAAATATATACCGGTATATGTAACCTATTAGAAATAAGTTTTGTTTGCAAATGGTTTTAAACTGAAAGACCAGAAAATATATATTTAAATACTAAAGTAGTAGTTGTCCACATGCATCCCTGATCTTCTGCATGCTGCGTGTGCCAGAATAAAGAATAATTAAAAGAAATGGTAGCGTCCATAGTCTTTATTTAAACACAATGCACACTACCAAAGCTAGAAGTACTTTGGCTGAGGACAAACTATTAATAAAATAAAATAAAACCCACTTAACAAGCAGGGTTAAATGAACTCGGTATGGTGCCCCTCTTGAGCCTGACCACTGAAAGATTATGAAGATATGCAGCGTTAAGCTTGGCAGCAAATGCAATGTTCCAGAGGGCATTGTGTTTTTCTTCACGCCATATGAGTCATGGTCTGTGCCTTTCCCATTATGCAGCAACTCGACAATGAGTCTCAAATACCAGACAAACAGTACGGAGAAGTTGAAAAATCTCAAATGTCTCAAAACTTCAATCTGGGTACGTACAGCAAGTCTGAAGGCTCCATGTTGGCAGCTTACTGCAGGGAGTTGGGTTTGGCTCGGGTGACCATGATAAATCTTTATGGATTTAAGCGTGCAACACATCGTTGTGCACACATTTCCCTGTGATGATTGCAGAGGAAGAGCTAACCAGATATCTGAATCAGCACTCGGGCTCACGGACCACAACCCACACAGTACATTTACCGTGAAAAGACACTTGAAAACGCCTTGACAAACATTTAAACCAGGTCTATGCTGTGATTTCACGGTCCTATTTATAGTATAAAATACATATTTACAGTTTAGAGCTAATGTCGTACAAAGTAAATACTTTAAACAGGCTAAATGGAGCCCATTTTTAAACTCTTTAAGCTTACTAGGTGAAATTACAAAGGTCTGAAAATACATCCGGACACATCTCCTTTTTCAGAGAGATGTGAGTAGACAAAAAGAAAACGGTCAACGCAACTAAAACCATCCTGCTTCAGCACCTTTGGACAAAAATAAACCTTTAAGAACTGTAAGCTAAGAATGAGGCATAGATAAATGAAGCATTTTGAACATAAAGAGGAACTGGTCCCGTATTAGTTACTGCCGTTTGTTTTCCTTTACAAAAAAACATTTTCTCAAATTGTTGTGCAAACCCTTTCAATCGTGCTTTAGAAGATTGCTTCTGATTGGTGGGAAGTGTTTACCTGGTGTGTGTCTGAAGAGTTGCAAGTTTACCAGTGTGCAAAAGCTTTGTTTCGTCACAAAAATGAATAAAAACTAGAAAATAAATTAAGTTATTATTAAGACTATGGACAAAACAGTGGATTTCTGGGTTTAACAGTGAAAAGACAAATAATGCACAATGGGTAAACTTTTTATAAAGTGGTCCAAAAGAACCAAAATAAAAAACATGCATGTACTTATAAATCTTGGGCTACTTTCAGTTTAAAGTCATCTACAAAAAAATAAACGTACTAAAAATGCAGCAAAATGGAACGTTTAAGAAAATATACAGTAATTACCAAGCCAAATATATAGCAATTTTAACAATATGCTCTATAGCACTCAGTCTGATAAATTAATATACTGGAGAGGAATTTAATATTAGCTTTTTGATAGGCTTGCCCTAAAATGAGAAACTTGTATATTGCATTTATTTATGTTTGATGCAAACAAGTTAAACAAAGATTAAAAAAAATACCTCCAAGCACAATCTTGCTTCAATTTCCACGTCTAAAGACACCAAGCTTCTTCATTAGGACTGCAAATAAACCTTTTTTAGTCTAAAATTGCACCCGAAAATGAACAAATCCCAAATGTAGCGAGTGCAGAGCATCATGTGACAGTAAATGAAACTTGTGACGGCACCAAGAGGTCGAAGGGATAAAACCGACAATAATCTTAACAGCAACGAGTCTTATTCTGTGGAAAACGGAGAGCCTGAAAAATGGCAGCTGTGTCCACATAGCAGCGACACGTCAGACTGAAGAAGTAATTTGGATAAATGACAAAACGTTTCAACAAAGAAGAATCTGTCCAGAGGACACGACTTAACCTCGTTAGATAGAGAAATGTTCAAGGATAAAATTCACACTGCGTTTAAAACTCGGCGCTCGTACTCTGATGAGTCCGGGGAAGAGAAAACTCTGCTGTTTGTGTTATGACCTCACTGGAATATTGGGGAATACAAGCTTCCAGGCCAGTGCTGGAACTTGATGTTCCAGAGAGCCGAGGAGAGAGAATTACGGCACGCGCACGCATAACTCTCTCACGTGTCTTGTTAAAACTGCGAGGATGTTTCACACGCAAACACAGAGACCCGTGATGCTCATAAAGTCTGACAGCCAGATCCTCAACAGCTACAGTGAGTGCAGGAGGTGTGAGGAGAAAGGAGTCGGATTCTGTAGCAGGAAGTGGGATTATCAAGGCCTGGCTAAACGTGGTCTTTTGAAGACTTTTTGATATTGAAATCTGCAGGAATTCAGCTGCAGGTGAGCTTTCTTTCATCTGTAATCACAACTCCAGAGCACAGCTGCTCCAGGAGTCTAAAAATACACCCAAGAGTTGCGCACTGTCAATGCAACGCCACACATTGCTGTGAACTACTGGAACTCGGGTAGATGTGGAAATTTCCTGTGGATCATTTGCTAATAAAGTCACACTGGCTATACAATTTAAAATGAAGTTGGTAAACATTTCTTGTGCTTGAATTCGTGTTGCCAGATTCGTTCTTGGCTCAGTGCTGAAGCTCGCAAGGCTAAATGTAAAATATTCAGTGCAGCAGATTGGAAACTGGGGTGACGGATACTTAATCTTCTTTCAGTTTTTCCGTCTTCAGGGGTCTCCACAGAGAGTCATCCTCCTCCATCTCACTCTGTCCTCTGCATCCTCTGTCCTCACTCCAACTACCTCCATGTCCTCTCCAACTGCATCCATGTATCTCCTCTGTCTTTTTCCTGCAGCTGCATCTCTAACATCCTTCTACCAGTATACCCACTGTCCCTCCTCTGGACAGGTCCAAACCATCTCAGTGTGTCCTCTCCAACTTCATCTCCCAGTTCAGCCTGTGCTGTACCTCTGATGATCTCATTCCTGATCTTCTCCATCCTTGTCTCTCCTAAGGAGAACCTGAACATCTTCACTTCTGCCACTTCCAGTTTTGTCTCCTGTCTTTTTGTCCATGTCTCTGTCTCCAGACCATACAACACAGCTGGTCTCACCACTGTCTTGTAAACTTTTCCTTCGACCTTTGCCAACACCCTTTCATCGCCAATCTCTCCTGTAACTTTTCTCCATCCTGCCTGGACTCTCTTCTTCACCTCTTTGCCACACTCCCCATTTTCCTGGACAGTGGCCGATACTTAATAAGGAGTCTCAAATTAGACAATACTCCACTGAAATACAATATTTATTTGGAATCTGTTCAAAATTTGAATAGGGAAAAAAATAAAAAAAGACTGTTGTATCCTGAGGGATTTTGTGGGAAAGGAGACAATAAATTCATCAGTGCCAAAGAGGACGGATGAATTTCCCCTGAAGGGAAATCGCATTACAAACAGATGGTGAGAATCAGTTTTGATTCTGGAGCACAAAGAGTTTCTTTGCACTTTCACAAACTTTGTATCGCAAGACGCACGTCAAATAAAAAACAAAACAAGTGCTGCCTTGAGAAAATGTTCTCCTACTTGAGAAATCTTGTTCTAATTATACGAGACTGAAATTTTGTTTTGAGTGATTTATTAATAAAACACGAGAACAGCAATAAGTGGATGACGTATTCGAACCTCTCGTTAGCCCACAAATAAATGCGCATCTGTTCGAACGGTCAAGTACTTCGTAGCCACGCCACTGGTCCAGTTTTGGCTATATTTAGCCCTGGTTCACTCTGCCACTCCAAGTGATCCTGTCGTAAAAAAAAAGCTGACAGAACAACATTTTCCACTTCTCTCCACTTAGCAGCAGCAGAAAAGACAAGCAACCTACGACCCACTGAACTGAGTAGTCAGGTAAAACGTCACCTCAGCTTTTTTTGCAAAACACCACGTAAACATTTGGCAAAACAGCTGAGCAACAAGTCTTCAACCTCCCTCGCAAATGCTGTAGAAAAAGTCCCACTGAGCGCTTCAAAGTGTGGACGTTCGCTGACCCAGCTCTGTTGGCAGCTGGATCCAAAAAGTGACTAATCTTCACCGTCGTCATCCCCACCACACCTATTTACTTCAACCGTCGTCTAGAAGCCTCCAGGAGCATACAAGCTGGGATCCGCTCTTTTTGACGGGCTCTGTGGTTTTCTTTTGTTTTCATTTCAAAAGAAAAAAGGTTCGACAGTTATATCATCATTTAAATAAATAAAAAATAAAAAAAAGGGTTGGGGTTTCTTTACCACGTTCGTGTTTTTGATCAAAACAAGCACTAAATCAAATAGGTTGATTCAGGTCTCTTGTAAATGAGTCCTCGTGGCTCAGTGAAACTTACCTGTATACATAAAGTTTGAATGAAGTCAAATTAAACAAATTTAAAAAAAAAAAAAAAGGTGAAACTGAATGTCAGTGATCACTGGATCAAAACTGAAGGGATTCGGCAGGAGAGTAGATTTTAAGTCATAATGTTCACAGCTCTAAAGCCCCTTATCCACAGGGCCTTTTGGGACTCCTATGTAACTAGTTCGGGCCGATTGCGTGGTTTATCCACAGTGCCTTCAACGGTGGAACCCACCCCATTTTTGGGACCTACTTCTCTGAGGTCCCAGGTCTGGTTCTTGTTGGGTCTAGATGTGACATCAGCACACTGTAGGTCACTGATTGGTCAGGGGGCGTATTCATTGGTGGAGGGTGAAGATCAAGGAGGTCATCCATTTTGGTTTTGTGTTTGTTTTCTGGCTCTTCTTCTTCTAATACATGTTAGTGGTGCTTAGAAAAGAGCTTAATGTAGCACTAGCGCCACCAGCTGGTAATGTGTGTTGATATTAATAATCCACCCACTAGAGGTGAACAATCCGCCCACTAAATAGGAACTATGGGCACTGTGGAGACAGAAAATAAAAAGAGGACACAACAGGGTCCAACAAGAACCGGCCCTGTGGATAAAGGGCTTAAGAGTTTTAGCACCGCACCTGCTGCCATTCATGCCAGAGTTTCAAACTTATGCTAAGGAGGGAGAGTTATAGTAATTTTGATTAAACCTTATAAATGACGTGTACATTCTTATGAAAGATTTTGTAAGATGTGTGATGTGTTGCGGATGGCGCCCACAGCACATTTGAGCTTAGTGGCTGTAAAATTGACTGAATTCTTTGCATTGTGTTTGGCAATGCTGATAAGCTGTGGCAGCCATCTTTTTTCATTCATTCAACCTTTATTTATACCGGTTAGTCCCATCGAGCCTCGGGGACTCATTTACAAGAGACCTGTGTGATGACGACAGTGGACAATAGTAGACAATCATAAAAGAAAGCATACAAATTGAGAAGAACAAATAAGAAAATGGTATTTAAAAAAAAATGAAAAACAAAAAACGGCTACATTAGAAGGTGGTGTAGAAAACTAAAAACAGGAACATGTCTGCATTGGTTTTTCCCATGAACTTGGATGTTTGAATCCACTTAGAGAGGTCAAGAGCTTCAGATCTTTTTACAAGATATTCCAGGAAACAGTAACGGAGTAGGAGAAGGTCCTAGTTCAGTCCTCACAGATGGAACACTGCAGGTAATAATGTCCTGAGAGCGCACGCTGTAGCTGCACTCACAGTGACATGTAGGAGATGTATGAAGGCAGCAGACCAAGAAGTGATTTAAAGATGAAAATGTACCAGTGAGAGAGTCTGCGTAAAGTTAATGATGACCACTTAACCAGTTTAACCAGTGAATACATGGTGCAATGGTGGGTAGGATCCAGCCAGTTAAGAATTTTAGTGCACCATGATAGACAGCGTCCAACATCTGCAGGGTGCTCGTAGGAGCGTTCATGTAAAGAATGTCACCGTAATCAATGGAGGGAAGGAAAGCTGCAGTTACCTTGAATTGAATAGAGTCCAAAGGTCATTAAGTCCATCCATTATCTTTTACCCACTTCTTCCATTTTGGGTCACGGGGGTCGCCAGTGCCCATGTCCAGCAATTACTGTGCAAGGGGTGGGGTACACCCTGGACAGGTCTCCAGTCCATCACAGGGACACGGAGACAAACGCGACAACCATTCACTCTCTCACTCACATTTAGAGACAATTTAGAGTTACCAATCAGCCTAACATGCATGTTTTTGGTCTGTGGGAGAAAACCCATGCATGCACGGAGAGAACATGCAAACTCCACAGAAAGGCCCCCGGACCGGGATTTGAACTGGGAACCTGCTCGCAGAGAGGCTGCAGCTCTACCAGTTGTTGCACCGTGCTGCCCGGTCATTAAGTCGTAGACGAAATTCAATGATTTGGCATGTTTTTACAATTTACTCCGAGTCATCAGAGCTGACACACACCCCACTTGTCTTTTTATCTTTATAGGGATTTTGCATTGACTTCCATTCATTTTTCATTCATTTCTATAGCCTTGCCCTGACTCTTACCCTTAACCTAACCATTACCAGTACATACCTGACCCTAAACCCATCCTCAAGACACACCTTAGTCCTAAACCTAACCCACCAATGGTATTTCTTCTTATGGGGCCTGGGCTTTGGGCATTTGGTCCTCACAATGTAGTGTAAGTTGGAAAAAAGGGCCTTACAAAGTAACAAATACACACAAACACACACACTTCAAGGACAAACTCTCACAGGCTGATATCTAGAAAGAAGATTCCTTATCACCAAGCTTTAAACTTTACAACTTATCAACATGAAAAAAAAAAAAAAAGAGAATTTTACATTTGAAAAATGTATCACGTGACTTGATTCCCGTTGTTTTGGTGTGCACGCGAGCAGAGATGGAGGCAGCGTTCAGCCCGTTTCACCTTTTGTCCCTTGGCCTGAATGCGTTTAATGCACGGACATGCAAACAAAGCAGGTTGCCAAAAGGCATGAAGCATCAAAGTGCAAGAGCTTCCATGTCCCATCTAGTCCGTGCACGAAGCGGCGCTGACCTGAATCCTCTTATCAAACTGACGGAAGAGCGTCAACGAAGCCTCAAACAGAAAAGCTGTGATAAGGTTTTAAACTTCTTCGTCACTTCGGCGACAAACTGGCGGCACCGCTTGACCCTGGACCGACTCGTCACACACCTCAAACCGACGAAGAACGACACACCGAGGTGTAACAGCGAGTTAGTTCGAGAAGAAGCTAAGACCGACGGATAAAACAACTTTAGTGCGCAGCGTCCATCATGACCGAAACAACTCAACTGGACGGTGGCGATTTCAACGGAAAGAAAAAATACCAGAGGAAGCGACCCACCTTTCACCGCAAACACCAGGCAAGCTGAGAAAAGTTGAAGCCAGAGGAGAAAACGCGCTTGCGCCTCCATTTCTGCCGTTTTTGTCGGTCTGACAGAAGGTACAGATCGCGGTTTATCCGAACAACAACCGCTAACAGCGAACGTTGTGGCGGGTCAGAGGCGGCACGAGCTCTTTATAAACTCCCAGCCTGCAGACGTAGGGAAGGAGCACGTGCGCCTCAGCCGTCAGCCAATAGCGGGCTGTTGTTTAGTTGTAACTCCGCCCACTTTTCCATTTGTTGACATCCGGGGAGAACAATAAATCAACGCTGACGGGCTTTTACACGAATGAGCTGCATCACGTTCACTGCTGTAGCTTCAATTAATATCCCGAGAGGATTATCTTTGCAATTTTGTACATTAATAAAACAATCAACAACCATGGTTCATTCATAATGTATTCATATTCTTTTATTCTGGCTGTGTTTTTAATTTGCACTGATTTATTGTGTCCTGTTTTTATTTTGTTTTAGCTTGTAAAGCACCTTGGTCAATGCAAGGCGTTGTTGGAAGGTGCTATAGAAATAAAGTTTATAATTATTATTATTATTACCATATCATTTTATTTATAGAGCACTTAAAACAGCGACAAGGCCAACCAAAGTGCTGTACAGACAGAACAACAGGTAACACACAAAACAACATACAAAATGAAGTAAATCAGAATAAAGACATAAAAACGATGCAGATAATAAATATGACGACTAACTAGTGTGAAGCAAACAGGTTCAAAACACAGATCATCTGATGGTGAAAGCTACTGAATAGTAGTGTGTTTTTAAACGGGATTTGAAAACCGAGAGGGAGGGGGCCTGTCTGACAAGCAGCGGTAACTCGTTCCAAAGTCTTGGTCCTGCTACAGAGAAGGTCCTGTCACCTCTGCGCTTAAGACGAGTTCCTGGAACTGTGAGGAGCAACTGGTCCACTGAGCTCAGGGAACGTGGTGGGACATACGGCTGTAGCAAATCAGAGAGATTTATTATTATTATTTATTATTATGTATGTTCATAATGTAGCTGGATTTGATTTTGCTTTATATCACTACTTTTATTTACTTTTTGTTTGATATGCAGTTTGTGGCTGTTTATTGTTGTCTGCACCCTGTCTGTGGTTTGTCTAAAACAGATCTTTCTTGAAGATGAGTCCTCGTGATTCAATGGGACTAACATGTATAAATAAAAGTTGAATGAAAACTGAGAATAAGGAAGTGTTATTCTTTCTATGCTTACACTTCAAATGACCGACGATGATGTTTAGTAAATTGTTGACTTTCCAATAGGAAAGATTTATTAACTGTTTGCATCCTATTTGCATAAAATAATCTTCCGTTTGTCAAACAATTCATAATCAAACAGACTCAATTCTATGAATAACTACAGAGAGGTTGCATTTGCTGCAAAAATGTAGGGTGAATGTTTGCTGAATGACTTGAAGAAGCTGAAACTGAGTTGTTAAAGTTAAATAAAGCTGAACATGGGCTAAAAGCCAAATCACTTTCTAAAGCTAAAAATCACAAAAGACTAGCTAAACTTTAAAACAAAAGACTAACACTAGTTCTTCTTAGTTCTAGAATTGTGCTGCTCAAGGTGGCTGCATGTTGGAGTAGCTCTCTTACTTTCATTCTGAGATTTTGGAAACATTAATTCCTCTTTTTTATGGATATAAATTGCTTTTTTTCGGATGATTGCTTCCTCAGGGACCAGATGCTGTGCAGCTGGAAGGATTTTTACTGAAAACTTTTTTACTTTTGGACATTTGTTATGATGCATAACCATAACAACAAGGTGGTTTTCTAGCAGCTGATTAACATCTCAAAAGCTCAAATATTATACAGCCCCAAATCTCAAATGAGTTGAAGAGGAGGTGCCGTGGATGCATTCCAGTCTACCTGGAGGGGGTGCTCGAGTGCCTGACTGCTGACATCTTGGAGGTGGCAGGAGATGCGGCTTGTGACAGTGGGAGGACCGAGATCGTCCCCCGGCACCTGCAGTAAAGAAAGTCTGCATCGATGAAGGGCTCGGCACACTGCTGGGAGAAATGGCCATCACTGGGGGAGGAGTTCTCCCCAGCATCCAGGCAGTCCTGCTGCCCAAGAGGACCAAGAGGTCTGCTGGATCTGGGTGGACGGATCTGCATCTACAGCCATTTTCTTCGGCTCTGCTGTGGGACGGACCGCTACACTGGAAAAAGTTTTGCACAGAGTTGTTCATTCAAGCTAAAAACTATTATTGAATACAATGTACAATAATTGACTTGGTTGTGAAAGTCTATTTTTTTGCATTCTGAGGTTTCAATTTTGATTCAGACTGAATCAATAACACTTTTGATGGGAAGAAAGCAAATATTTTGGTTCCTCTCAAAACATGCTGAAAGGAAATGATGTCATATTTTCAATCTGAGTCACGTGAGAAGACGTTGGGGAGAAGTGCTTGGGTAGAAATAGAAGAGAAGAGGATATTATATCTAGACTAAGATTTGGGCATACGGGGCTGAATAGTACGCTGAAAATAATTAATAAACATAGTACAGGTTTGTGTAATTTTTGTGGAGAGTCAGAAACGGTGCAGCATATTCTTCTAGAATGTAGTAAATACAGCCGGGAAAGAGAGTTGTTAATTAGAGAGATGAACAGTAATAAAATCAATTTAGATGTTAAAAATTTGCTGCAAAGATCTTCTGAAAATATAATTTTTAACAGCATTTTTAGGTTTCTCAAGATGTCAGGCATTATGGGGAGAATATAGTGATAGGACATCTAATCTATACTCCAGTCTGGAAGGTGGCGGTAATGCACCTATAAGTTGTTTGCCAACCGCCATTAAACATAAAAGAAGAAGAAGAAGAAGAAGAAGTGCTTGGAGAGCTTCGTCCGTTGCACAATGTGTCTGCAATGTGTCACCTATGTGTCAAACAATGTGTCACCTATGCCATTATACAGTATATAGTGATTAATGAGGTGTGCCATACTGCAGTTGTTCAGTTGCATATTTCGTATATTTTGCCTCAGGTCTCCCAGAAAGATCAAGCCGAGCAGGAGCTGGAGAGGACCATCATGGCAGTCTTCGTCTTCAGAGAGAATTCAAGCCTTCTACAGCAGCCCCAAGACGTTGGGATTGTCATTGATGGTGTGGAAGTCCTCAATGAGTTGCCTTCTCTTGCAGCTGGAGTGGCAATGCTCTTTGGACTTTGCTATGCTCTTAACATGGAGTATCCACAGGGTTTCAGGTTCACCTTTGAGGCCCTTCAGAAGATCCTGATGGAGCTTGGTTCCAACAAGATGACTTCCAAGATTCGCAAACTCAGTGGTGAACTCAAAACTGCACAGTAGTGTATATTTAAGTGTGTGCTTAATGTGTGTGCATGTAGTTGCCACTGGCATCTATTTAAGAGGTAGACCACCTCACAGCACTTTGTTATACATGTTCAGGTGGTCACTTTCATGGAGTGCTTTTGTTGGAATTTTAGTTCTTTCATGATGTTTAGAGATGCAACATTCCTTCAAGTTCAGATGTGTTTGAACAGTACAACAATAGTGAATGCTTTCTGTCCATTTAATTTTGCTTGATAAGCCATATTGTCTTTATGTCATTGCTCTGATCAACAATGACATGTTTATATTTGTTTGTCTGAACATGCAACTTTTTTTGTCCTTTTTTACTTGAGGAATAAATGGCTTATAAGAAAAATGTTGCTGGAGTGTGTTAAGTGTGATGTGAGTGATGCAGATTGTTTGACACCAAGTTTATGACATTTTAAAAAAGAAGACTTTCATGGTGCCAATGAATTAATTTATGCTAGGTATATATATTAGATGGGTTCAATTTAAATATATTAGTTTGGTTCATAAACTAAAATGTAAATTATTTAACTTGGATAAAGGTGAAGAATTAAT